TGGCTGACTGGAAAAACCTTATAGACTATTTTCGCTTGAAATAGCAGGAAAAAAAAATCCTTTGTGGTTTTAATGATCAAGGGGAAAAAATGGATAATAGAAAAAGCTTTGAGCTTTTTTTGGGTAATCACAGAGTAAGAGGTAATTTTAAAAGCATAGCTGCAGAGAAATTGGGAAGCTTTAAAAAATTTCTTTTTATTTCTTACTGCCCTTTTGTGTTTTCCTTGTTCCTTCTCTCTCTTTCTTTGGTCTCTCTATTCTGTAACTAGTTGGTGTGAGTTTTTGTGTTCCCTTTAAAACTTCCAATAAACTTTTATTTTTCTAAAAAATGGAAATGTATGCTTTTGGCTGTGAATGGGCTCATTATCCCTGGATTGGAAAGATTACATGGTATAATTCTGTATGGATGAAATTTATTTATTTATTTATTCATTCATTCATTCATTCATTCATTCATTCATTCATTCATTCATTCATATTTATAAACTGCTCAACTCCAGACTTTTTAATGTTTGAAAACTAAGCTGCTATTTTACATCTGCTGTAATTTTATTTATCTATTCATTTATTCAATTTATACACTGTGTCAGGTTTCGATGTCATCTCTCTATCCCACAACTCATGGCGGCTTACCACGTAATAAAAATAGAATTATACACCATTGAAACAGTAAAACAGTATATTTGATTATTCATGTAATAACAACAGCGAGAACTGTATTTGTACAAAACTGGAAAGCAGAGAAAATACCTATGGAAGAGGAAGTAATTAAGAAAATTTTACACTGTGCAGAAATGAATAGATTAACTTTGATAATTAAAGAAGATTCAGAATATTTTAAGATATGGGGTCAATTCTACCATTGGTTAGAACAGAGATATAGATAAACAAATTAATAGTTATGCAAGAGTTTAGTATAATTAAAATATTGTTGAAGAGAGGTTGTAATAGATTAAGAGAAAATGAAGAAAGAAGAAACAACAAGGAGATGAAGCCATTGAAGAAACACCGAGATGACACACGAAAAGATTAACTGATGTATTAAGTGTTTGTTTGTGTATAAAATAATTTTTTTTGTAAAAAAGAAAGAAACAGTAAAACAGTAAATACAGTTAGTTCTCAAATTACAACAGCAATTGGGACTGAAATGTTGGTTGTAAGTCGTGACAGTCAGACGTCAAAGACACTCAAGTGACCAGACTGAGTTTTACAACCATTTTTATGGTGGTCATTATAACAAACCCCACGGTTGTAAGTCTGAATCATGTGGTCATAAGTGTGAACCCATTCTCTGGAATGGGTGGTGGGTTTTTTTGCCAGTAATTGTGAACTGGTTGTCAAAATTTGGTCATGGGACCATGAGGGCAGCACCATATTTTACAAACAGTAAGTTAAGGACGAGCTGCATTTATTTATTTTGACTAGTTCAAAGAGGAAATGTCAGCAGGTAAAAATATGCTTGTGGGACCTGGTCCTCAGGTAAACACCTTCCCACCCCCACCTCCAGACCCTCCATCTCATGGCAAGTCCATTGTTGGGATGCCCAAAGTCTCGTCCCAGAACAGTGCAGGACCCCATTGGTTGTTTTCTTGTAGATGTTTCATGACCCAACTAGGTAACAGCATCAGTGCTAGATGAGAGGGGGAGTTGCGGAGAGGAGGAGGAGGAGGAGGAGGAGAAAACAACTGTGGGGTCCTTGATGCTCTCTGAGTTTGGTTGTTTTCTTGCAAAGTTTCATTACCCAACTACATAACTTCATCAGTGCTACAAGGAAGGGGAGTTTGCAGAGAGGAGGGAGAGGAGGAGGACTGTGGGGTCCTTAATTAAGGACCCAACTGCTTGGAGGCAGAGACCACTGCACTCCACGGAGGGTTTGACCTCTGCTTGGCCAATACCAAGCTTAAGGTATTGGCTTAAGAAGAAATTTTTAAATGTTTTAATTGGTTTGTGATTTTTAATTTTAATTTTAATTTTTTAATTTTTGAGCCAAATTTATATATACTTTAACTGTTTTTTAATATTTGTATTTCATGTTCTTAATTCTGGCTGTACACCGCCCTGAGTCCTCAGGGAGAAGGGCGGTATATAAATTGGAAATAAAATAAAATAAATAAAATAAATACTGTTAGCTCTGCGTTGGCATGCTCCGTTCCATTTCTTCTCTCTCACCTGTGTGCGTCACAAGACGAAGTTGTGCAAAACCCACGAAGTACAGATTGTCCAGAATTATCTTTTTTTTGCATCCTGGAATTTCAGGCTTCCTTTGAATGATCAGGATAAACCTGGGTTGCCTCTGTCCAAAATTAATCTTGTTTACAGGTGGGGAACTGGGGCCTGGGCCAACGATAACCCCTCTTCATCCCAGTTGGGGGAGACTGAGATGCACATCCTGGCCAACAGAGGGCGCTCTTTTCACAAGGATGACTTGGGAACGGAGAGAGCTGGTTGCTTTGAAGCCAAGTCCAGCAATGTTCTCTATTTATTTCTTCCAGGGAAAGTGGATGGTTTTTTTGAAATGCTGGATCCTGACACAGTTGGGATTCCCAGTAGGGTCTGGTGGAGGTTGGAGGCCCCCAAAGCAGGGATGAAATCCAGCAGGTTCTGGAGAACCGGTAGCGGAAATTTTGAGCAGTTCGGAGAACCGGCAAATACCACCTCTGGCTGGTCACAGAGTAGGGTGGGAATGGGGATTTTGCAGTATCCTTCCCCCAGGAGTGGGGAGGGAATGGGGATTTTGCAATATCCGTCCCCCAGGAGTGGGGTGGGAATGGAGATTTTGCAGTATCCTTCCCCCAGGAGTGGGGAGGGAATGGGGATTTTGCAGTATCCTTCCCCCAGGAGTGGGGTGGGAATGGAGATTTTGCAGTATCCTTCCCCCAGGAGTGGGGTGGGAATGGAGATTTTGCAATATCCTTCCCCTAGGAGTGGGGTAGGAAGGGAGATTTTGCAGTATCCTTCCCCCAGGAGTGGGGAGGGAATGGGGATTTTGCAGTATCCTTCCCCTGCCATACCTACCAAGCCACGCCCACCAAGCCACACCATGCCCATGCAACCAGTAGTAAAAAAATTTGGATTTTACCACTGCCCCAAAGTCAATATGGGGACTGCTTCCACACCATCAAAGCCTCATCTGTTTTTTTTTTTAATATGCATAATTGTTTGCACAATGAATGCAAAAAAAGGCATGACTTTAATTGTAGGCTCATGGTTGCCATCTTGACTTTTTTGCCCTCCCAACATGCCGAGTTGGAAAAGTTCTTGGCTGCTCTGGAGGTTTTCAAGCAGAGATTGGACAACCATTTGTCCGGAATGGTACAAGGTTTCCTGCTTGAGCAGGGGGTTGGACTAGAAGACCTCCAAGGTCCCTTCCATCTCCCGTATTTTGATATATATATACCTGATAGATTTTCCAACCCATTATTGTCATAAGAGATTGTTTCCTTCTGATCTGGGGCTCGGGTGGCTGTTTCTGGAAAATGGGAGCAGCTTTGCCAACAAGCCTGAACAGCCTTTCTCAGCCAGGCACGGTCCACAGGTGTTGGACGTCAATACCCATAATCCTGAACCTATGCCATGCTGAGTAGCAGAAGCAAACTACGGTACGCTCAAGGTTCAATAGGAGGAAATGGCTTAATAACTCTCTCTTTTTTTTCAATAGAAGAGAATATTTGTAGTTTAGAGTTGAACTCTGGAGTCCCTGGTGCTCTCTGAGCTGAGTGTTTTCCTTGCATCTGTTTCATGACCCAGCCAGGTAACATTATCAGTGCTAAGAGGTGGGGTTGCAAAGTGGAGGAGGAGGAAGAAGAGGAAGTAGAGGAGAAGGAGGAGAGGACTGTGAGGTCCTTGGTGGTCTCTGAGCTTGGTGGTTTTCTTGCAGACCTTTCATTGCCCAACTAAGTCACATGACTTAGATCTCAGACCTTCGGACTTTTCGTCGGGCCCTAAAAACTTACTTTTTTCAGCTAGCCGGGCTGGCCTGATTCCATGTTTGGTTTTTAATGTTTGATATTGATTTTAATTGATATGTTTTAAATTACGGGCCAAATTTCTATTTCATTAGTTTTAAATAATTATTTTAATTTTTGTACAAATGTTTTTATTTTGGCTGTTCACCGCCCTGAGTCTGAAAGGAGAAGGGTGGTATACAAATTTAATAAATAATCATCATCATCATCATCATCAGTGCTAGAAGGGAGTGGGGTTTGCAGCAGTGGTGGGTTGCCCCTGGTTTGGATTGGTTTTATAGAACCGGTAGTAAAACTGGTGGGAGGCTCTGCCCACCAACCCCGACGTCATCAGGAAGCTTCTGCACATGTGCAGAAGCGCACGTGCATGACCCCGTTGCAAACCGGTAGTAAAGGTAAGTAGAACCCACCCCTGGTTAACAGGGAGGAGGAGGAGGAGGAGAAGGAGGAGGAGGAGGAGGAGGAGGAGGAGGAGGAGGAGCAGGAGCAGGAGCAGGAGGAGGAGCAGGATTATTGAGCTGTCCTTGTGCTCTCTGGGCTTGGTTGTTTTCATGCAGACATTTGATTACCATGCTAGGTAACATCATCAGTGGTAGGAGGGACCGGGGTTTGTGTGGAATGGAGGAGGAGGAGGACTGTGAGGTCCTTGGTGTTCTCTGAGCTCGGCTGTTTCTTGCAGATGTTTCATTACATAACTTGTTAACATCACCTTCTAGGATTGGTGATGTTATCTAGTTGGGTAATAAAACGTCTGCATGAAAGCAACCGAGCTCAGGGTGCAGCAAGGACCCCACAGAACAACTCTTGGTGGTGCCCTCCTTATTCAGTGTTGGCCAGGAAAGGAAGCATCAGAGAGATCTGGCTGACCTTCTGAGCTCGATGACCTTAGACTGACCCAGTGGCCCTTCCCTGCTGGCTCAGGTTGTGTTCCACCTCCGTAGAAGGAATCTTCTTGCTACCTTCTCAATGGCCACCCGCCAGATAAGGTGGGGCCACAACGTCCTGGCCTCCCAGTCTCATGCACGTTAGACTCACCTGGGTCACAAACTTATTCTCGCTCCAGAGGGTCATCGGCGCTTCCTCAAAGGCCTTCTTCATGGTGTTTGGAGGCCGGTAGGAGTCGGTGTAGGTGCTGATGGGGGTCTTGGTTTTGGTGGCAAAGAGGAACATCTTGGCTGGATCTGGGCAGCTCTTCCGAAATCGTCAATGCAAGAAGAGGGAGCGAAGTACACTTCTTCGGCAGAAGAGCTCGGGACCTCAGCCTCATGGAATCGGGGGCGATTTCTCCCGCTAAGGTTGCTGGGAAAGGGAGAGTAGCTCTTCATGCCAGGGGGGGCAAAATTTAAGACTTTTTTTTCCCTTGGTGGCCTCAGCCCTTCCCAACAGTCAGCCTTGGCATCATGCGTGATGTCACAGTTGGCAGGCAGAAATGGGCAGGTGGGTCAGGAAAACCCATCCAACGTGGAGCTCAAGGTCAAAGGATTTTAGCGCAGGGTTTTGCAACCTCGGGATCTTGAAGGTGGGTGGACTTCCACTCCCAGAAGTCCTCAGCCAGAAGGTGCCTTTTTCAGGAGGCAACGGGACTTACTTGTTCTTTTCTTCAAAGATGTTTCGCTTCTCATCCAAGATGTTTCTTCAGATTCTTTGCTTCTTGGAGGAGAAGCAAAACATCTTCAAGAGAAGAACAAAGAAGAAAGTCCAGTTGCCTCCTGAAAAAGCACCTTTGGGACAACCAGGACCTGGAGGACGGAGAATCTCTAGACTTTGAGCTGGGCAATTTGGGATGGAGACCCTTGGAATAGTGTGGGAGTAGGAACGGATTTCCAGAGGGAAAAACTGCAGATTACAGGATCCATTTGCATTACTCAGGTGACCCTGAGGACACAGAGAAACCTCCAAGTGCTTCAACGACCCTCTAAAAGGATGCAAATGACCAGCTGTCTGCAAGGAATATAAATCCTTCCGTTTCCCACCGTCCTGTCAGAGCTGAAGAAGCTTCTTGGATGAGAAGTGAAACGTCTTCAAAGAAAAACCAAGAAAGTCCAGTTGCCTCTTGAAAAAGCACCTTTAGGAGCCTTGGTAGTACAGTGGTTTAATGCACCCTGTAATTAACACAGCTGCCTGCAATTTCTGCTGGTTCGAATCTCTCCAAGGCTCAAGGTCGACTCAGCCTTCCATCCTTTCTAAGGTAGGTGAAATGAGGACCCAGTTTGTGGGGGCAATAAGCTGACTTTGTATAAATATACAAAAGGATGAAGGCTATTGCTGAGCACATTGTAAGCCGCCCTGAGTCTCCGGAGAAGGGCGGCATATAAATCAAATAAAAATAAAATTAAAAAATAAAAACCAGGACTCAGAGGACCGAGAATCTCTGCAGACTCTCAGGCAGCATGCTGTCTATGCTTCCACAAGCTTGCTAATTAGGGAATTCTGGGAGCTGAAGTCCACACAACTTTAAGCTTGCCGGCTGGGGAATTCTGGGAGTTGGAGTCCACAAGTTTTCAAGTTGCCAAATTTGGAGGCCCTGTTCTACGCTTGCCACCAGAAGTTGTGGGTGCTCCATCACTGGAGGTTTTCAAGAACAGACTGGATAGCCATTTGTTTGAAATGGTATATAGGGTCTCCTCCGTAAGCAGGGGGTTGGACTAGAAGACCTCCAAGGTCCCTTCCAGCTCTGTGATTCTGTGATCCCTGGAAAGGCCAGAGGACTTTCTGCCATGTGCAGGAGCTCAGCAGGTTCTTGGGTGGAAAATGAGGCGAAGGGGAAAATGAAAACTTCCAAGCCAAGCTCCTTATTCCAGCAGAGGGAGCATCCATCTTTGGGTGACCCAGTTGATCCCTGATCAGTAACTGATGGAAGATGTCTGTGTCACCTGCAGGTTTCAGCTTTTGCATGAAGCTTTGACAAAAAGGATGTTGAGACTTTAGAAAAAGAGAGAAGAGCAACTAAGATGATTAAAAATCTGGAGACAAAAACTTATGAAGGACGGTTGCAGGATTTGGGTTTGGTAAGTCTGGAGAAAAGAAGGGGGGGGGGGGGAGGGGATGACATGAGAGCAGTCTTCCAGTATTTGAGGGGCTGCCACAAAGAGAAGGTCCATTTATTTTCCAAAACACCAGAAGGCAGGAGAAGAAGCAACGGATAGAAACTCATCAAGGAGAGAAGCAACCTGGAATTAAGGAGAAACTTCCTAACAGTGAGGACAATTAACCAGTGGAACAGCTTGCCACCAGAAGTTGTGGATGCTCCATCACTGGAGATTTTTAAGAAGAGATAGGACAACCATTTGTCTGAAATGGCATAGGGTTTCCTGCTTGAGCAGGGGGTTGGACTAGAAGACCTCCAAGGTCTCTTCCAGATCTATTCTGATTGATTGGTTGATTGATTGATTGATGATTCTGTCTCCCAGGATTTGTACAGGGAGATCTTGCTGAAGATTTAGTTTTGTTGGGGACGTGCTTCCCTTACGTTGAACCATTCGGATGATTAAAAATGGAACTAGAATTGAGAGTAGGCTTTTTTCTAGGAATTGAGGATGACCACAGAGGCAATAGAGTAGACTCAAAGCCAGTGAGTCTTTCAACCAGCTCCTTCTTTTGCTCTAAAGTAGTGCTTCTCAACCTCAGCAGCTTGTAAATGTGTGGACTTCAACTCCCAGAGTTCTCCAGCCTGGAAGCTTTAAGAAGTCTGGACTTCAGCACCCAGAATTCCCCAGTCAGCAAGCTTTAAGATGGGTGGACTTTTTCAACTCTCAACGTTCCCCAGTCAGGAAGTTTTAAAATCTTTTTTTTTAAATAAAGTTTTTTATTTTTTTTTCCTCATAAACACATTTACGTGTATAGTCATTTCCATCATTTTTCATTCATCTTTTCTTTTAACTTTCATTTTTCATTTTTACTTTTTCGGGGCTGCTCTTTTACCCTTTACCTTTACTCCAACCTTTCTTCTTCTTCTCCCCTTTTCTTTCCTCTCTGTTCTCCTACTTCCTTCGTTCTTTCTCTCCTTCTCTTTCCTACTTCCCCTTCTCTTCCCACACTCCCTTCTTCCCCCCTTCTAACCTTCTCCTCTACTCCACTTTCCCCTCCCTTTTCTTTCTCCCCTTTTCCCATTCTTCTTTCTCCTCTCCTCTCCTCTCTTCTCCCTTCCTCTCTCCCTACTCCTTCCCCTCTCTCCTGTTATTTCCCTTTTCAGTTCAATCTAAAGTGGTATTTGAGCAGCTCTGATTTTATTTATTTATTTATTTATTTATTTATTTATTTATTTATTTATTTATGAGATTTATATGCTGCCCAATCTCCAGCCGGACTCAGGGCGGCTCACAACAGTTAAGAAACATCTAATAAAAAGTTAAAAAATTGAATCCAAATCTCGTAATTTAACAGTTAAAAGTACAATTAAGTCTAACAAGTTAAAATTAAATTAGAATTAAAACCCCATCAGTCCAGGCCGGCCAAACGAAACAGCCACGTTTTCAGGTCGCGGCGGAAAGAGCGGAGGTCGGGGGCCACCCGGAGCTCCAGGGGCAGTTGAGTCCAAAGGGTGGGTGCGCCCACAGAGGACGCCCTCCCCCTGGGGGTCACCAGCCGACACTGTCTGGCCGACGGCACCCTGAGGAGGCCCTCTCTGTGGGAACACACCGAACGATGGGAAGCTGTTGCTGGCTGCAGATGGCCCCCCAAATATCCCGGGCCTAAGCCACGTAGGGCCTTATAGATTTTCTAATTATCTTTATTCTCATTTCAATTTCTTATTCAATTATTTATTTTTATTTCATCATTTGCGTATTTTTATAATATCTCACTTTTTTCCCCCCCCCCCCCTTTTTCCTTTTACTTGACATCATCTGGGTATCTATTTTTCTAATTGTTTTCTCCCATCTATTCTCTTTCTATTTTATTTCTATATCCTTATTCATATTTCTTTTCCAACCAATCATAAAATTTATCCCATGTCTTGAAATACACCGGCTCCTCTTTATCTTTTATTCTCAGTGTTAATCTATTCATTTCTGCACATTCTAAAATGTTCTTTATAATTTCTCCTTCCAACGGGATTTTATCTGCTTTCCAGTTTTGTGCAAATACAATTCTAGCCGCTGTTATTATATGAAAAATCAAATATGTATCTTCTTTACTATATTTCTCTGGTAAAAATTCCCAATAAGAATATCTCTGGTTTTAACTCTGTATGTTGCTGCAACATTCCCTCTAACCATGTTTGTATTTTCACCCAATATTGTTTTGCTTCTTTATGGAAGCTTTAAAATCTCTGGATTTAAAGGCTGGCTGGGGAATCCTGGGAGTTGAAGTCCACAGTTCTTTACAGTTGCCACGTGGGAAGGCTTCTGATGTAAACATGACTACGGAGTTGTGTGACTTGCCTGAAAACTTTTTTGCCTACTTTTGATTTTTCCAAAAAGAAAACCCCCGAAGGCTTCCCAGGGAAGCCTTTGCTCCCCACCAGCCCATTATTATTCCTGAATTTGGGGGTGAAAGAAGTATGAACCTTCTAGGTCTGAATGATCCCCTCCGAGACCCCCGTCAGCCAGTCTGGTTGCATATGGATTGCTGTGGCTACCAAGTGTGGGATTTGTCAGGGAGTATAGGTAGTCCTTGGCTTACAACTGTGCACTTAGGGATCATTCAAAGTTACAACAGCACTGAAAAGTGAGCGTTTTTCTGACCTTCCCTCCCTCTCTCTTTCTCTCTCTCTCACTCACTCACTGGTGTATTTTCATTTCTTACCGCTCTGAGAAAACAGAATCCTTCCTTCCCTTTTCTGCAGACGGAGGTTTTCACACACAGAGACAGCCGGGTCGGTTTCATATGTACGCTTTTTAATATTAATTCTGTCAACACTACACACAACCAGTAACAATGATAAATACTGCAATGGAAATGTTAAAAAAAAAAAATATTATACATGTAACATGTCTTCCAAAAACCACATTGTAAAAATAAATTAATGTGTAAACTTGACGGTAAATTATAATAATTATAATAATAATAATAATAATAATAATAAAAAAACCCAACAGATTGGTTTAAGGCAATCATCTACATGATGGGGACAGGACTGTGCTACGTTGCTCAGGCTGGGGAAGCAAAAAAATTAAGACTGAGTTTTGCTGGAAAACAAAGAGCTGACTTTACTGGGAGGGGAAGGGGATTAGCCAGAACAAGGAGACTCCCCTTCCCAATTTATAAGTGAGTTTGAGAGGGAAGTGATGGGGCCGGTGTCTCGTCAAGAGTTTCGGGCAGGTTGGTCATCCTCAAATCTACACGGTTCCCTATTGGGACTCTTGACATCTTCCCTTTCTTTGCCTGTTTCATGCACACACAAGTCGAACATGGCAAGAAGTACCAATAGAAGGGAGAATTTGTAGCTCAGAGTTCAACGGTGGGGTCCCC